TTTTTTTTTGCCTTTTTTTTTGTAACTGGACTAATGACGACACAGATGTCAACACAGCACATTTGGATTGGAAAAACAAACTCTAAGAAAATCATGCAGTAAATGTCTTTTTTTTATTAGCTCTTATCTTTTTTTTTTTTTTTTTTTTTGATTTATTTTTTATTCCAGTCTCTCTTGTGTAGTGTATTTAAAAATAAATCAATGTTGAGGAAAACCTGTGTTTGTCTGTTAGCAAAGCTTTTCCAACCCAGTTGCCTCCCCTTAGATACAGCATCTGAAAACAGGGGTTCCCTGTTTGGGGGGTTCACCGTGGCCCTTTGGCACAGAGGGATTTGTGGAGCCAGGCAGCAGCCCCTTTCCATGTTCTTTTGATCTGGCTCTGGGAAGTCAGGAGAGAAAAGAGATGCACAGAATAAAGACTGTGTCATCACCTCTTTTGAATCAAAGACTTCACTGTTGTCTTCAAAGATTTAAATCAGAGATTTGACTAGACTTCTCTTCCTGTTAATGGTTTGTAATCTGTAATTCAGCTGCTCTTGTGGTTCCCTCCTCCTCTGCTATGAAATGACCCATGAGTTTCTCTCCTTATACAGTTCCCTCCTTCATTTTTGGTTGCCCATTTTTATCTTCAGCCTTTCCAGCAAATCTGGAGGGTTCCAGGTGGGAGTGTGACCAAGATCCTGGCAAGGTCAGTGTCCAGGCTGCTGTTCAAAGACTTGCATGTGGTGAATAGCTGTGGGCTGAGGGAAGATGAAGAAGCTTAACCTGCCCCTAAATACCACCACTCCTGGTGATCTTCATCTCCCCTGGCTTAGGGACCAGTCCATGGTGTCGTGGGAAGGCAGAGGCTGGGTTACCTGGCTGGGGAAAGCCCGGGGATCTGTGGTGTTGGGAGTGAAAGAGAGGGGATTAAAGGCTAAATTTAGCTGAATACAGTAGGAGTTGATTTAACAGATCGATGCATTTAACAGTTTGATTGCTCCAATTTTCAAGGCTATTGAGCTTGAAAGTGAGAGTGCTCTGGGGGAAAAATAGCTGTGTTTGTGGTTTTGTTTTGGGTTTTGTGTCTTTGAAATTACAATGTTCGCTCTTTTAAGTTTTAAAGGAAAACTTGTCATCTTGCCTTTTGTTGAGAAGTTGCTTGTCACGAGATATAAAATGTGGTCAGTGTTTTAGGCTCTTTTCTCTTAAAAATCCCACATTATTACAGACAGGCTGGTGTGGCAGCCTGGCTTGTGGAGGTGCTGCTGGGCCAGCAGTGCTTTCAGGTGTGTGGGAGTGCTGCCTGTCCCCCAGGATGGTCAGGGACAACCCACAGCCTCTCCCTTGGTTGACATTCATCCTTCCACAATTGAAAAGAGAGGAAAACACACCTAAACACAGTGTCACCTCTGAGGAGAGGGATCCTGACATCACCTGTGCATCTAAGAGCGGGCTGGCAGCAGAGCACAGGATGCTCCCGGTCCAAGGCTGAGTCCTGGCCTGGGTGGGCTGCTGGGAATGATGCTCCTGAATCAATCCATGGTCAGTCCTGATGCCTGGGCAGTGCTGGTGCCCCTAAAGGTGTGGTTGAGGGGCAGCCCTGCGAGTCATTCCCATGTAGAGGCTGGGCTCAGAGCTGTCCTCCCTGGCAGTGCTGCCCAGTGGGTGTTGAACGGTAGGTCCAGCTTAGCAGAAAGTTGACCTGCAAGCCAGTCCATGCTGAACATTTTCTTAGCAATTGCCCCCGTGTTGAGGGTTCTGTGCTTGTCCTGCCATCCATTCTGCTGATAAAGGTCCCACCTGTGCTCGGGAGCCGCAGCACTGCATGACCCAGTTATGATACACGAGCCTCTTCAGGAGTCCCTTGGATGTGATTAAATCGGGCTCTTTCTCTGCAGAGGATCCCCTGGGCTTCTGAAATTTGCTGTTCCTGTTGTGTGTGTTGTAGTGCTGCAGGTCTGCTCGGGGTGGAGGAAAGGTGAGGAGCAGCCTTTGGGAATGGAGCCGATGGGCAGAGATGGGGCCGGGACAGGGACAAGGGTTGTGCCTGGACGGGGGAGGATAAGGGGGTGTTTTATAGGGGGTCCCAGCAGTGGTGATGTTGGCAGCAGTTGTCTGCATCAGCCCTTGCTGCCTGGGCCCACTGGCCGTGTGTAGAAGAATCCAGTGCCAGTTTGGTGCCATCCCTGTGTGGGTTGGCTGGCACAGCAGACAGTGGTGTCAGAGCTCCAGGAATGTCCTGCCTTGTCCACGCTCCTCTCTGCCACCGGTGTGGCCATTCCACAGTGGATCCAGCTCCTTACAGTTTGTTGTGCAGGTGGGTTCCAAGGTCTCCAGCTCACAAAGGTGTTGGGGGGTCTCGGTGTCCCCTCAGGAGCTGCTCCACAAAGGGACCAGGGAGGGGAGGATTTGGGAAGAGCTGGATGGGAGACACCACGTCCAGTGTGCAGGGACAGGCTTTCCAGCCTCCTGGGGATCGTTCTTTGCACGTTGCCCCCTCCTTCCTCCCAGACACACCCCCAGACTCCAGGCAGTTATTTTCCATTCACTTTTACCTCCCCTCTCCCCACAGTGTTAATCACCAAGGAGCAATAATGAAGAGCCTGGAATGCTGTCTCTTCCCAAGCACACCAGCCACCCTAAGGTGTGTGCCAAGGCGAGCTCCAGGGGTGCCACAGCCCCTCACCTGCCCCACATCTCAGCCTGACGGGAGCCCCTTTCCTGCCAGAGGGTGAGGAGGGGCATGGCATCACCCCTGTGGCACCAAGCTGGCCATCAAGGAGCCCTGGGGTGCAGGGGCTGAGCCAAGCTCTGTCCCACCTGCCAGGTAAGTGCTTCACTTTTCAGTGAGTTCTACAGAGGTTATTGGACATCAATCAGCCTCGTTATACGTGTGCTTTTATCGTGCTGCTCTGAGCCTGTTCCTCTCCTGCTCTTGAGAGCAGTAGCTCAGGCATCTCTGTGGCCACAGCATTGCCCAGCAGTTTTCCTTCCCCTTTCCACAGCAGCCAATGCCACTTTTCCCTGCAATGATCCATCACAGCAAAGCCAGGGATTTACCAGCCCTCACTAACCCAGAGTTGCTCCAAAACTCTTTCCCCTTCCTCCCTCCCCATCCCTCCCCCGACTCCAGTGCAGGGTAAAATTGATCAGTGCGTATTTATTGATGGTTTGAACACTCAAAAGAAAGAGGGGGGGGAAAAAAGAGTAGTTGCCATAGAAACATCGATAAAGCTCCCGTCTCCACCGAGGGATGCGAGCGCGGCGCCTGCGTCCAGATCCAAACCAGGGCCTGTGGTGGGGCGGAATCGAGAGGGATGGAGGTGGGTTTGGGGGTGCCTGGGGTGGGGGGCTGTGTGGGCTCAGCCATCCTGAGTGCTGTTGGTCTCTGCTGTGGTCCCCACAGCGTGAGATGGTCCTGGCAGAAGGGATGCAGGGGAGGGAAATGCCCTTCCTCGCCTTAGCAGCTGGTGGTGTCCCCATGTGAGGACCAAACCCTGGCATCCTCTGTGCCCCTGCAAACCTGGAGTCTCTCCCGTTCTGCACCCTCCCTAGATGAGCCTGGTCCAGTGTCTCCATCACTCCTCCTTGAACCCCATGGCTGATGTTTTCCCAGGGGTTCCAGCTCCTCCATCCAGCCTTTGGTTACTGCTCCTGCTGCCAGAGCAACTCACGCAGCACTGCATTAAGTGGTCTGTCTGCTTGATGGATATTACAATGCACCTCTTGCAGCCTGATTTAGGGTTTTTTTTTTTAATCTTTTTACTCCCCCAACCAAGTCCTGCCACGGTCTCTGATTTTTGAGGGTGCAATTTAGCGCTTGCAAATCATCTCCCGGCTCATTTTTGTGCCTGCAATGAAATATCAGCAGTTGCTCAGTGTGTAAGTTGCTGTTAGTGCCTGCAGCAGGTAGTTAGAGCTCTGATTGCTGGTACCTCTGGCAGGCACAGAGCAAATGCCGACGTTGGCAGAGCTCAATCTGCCCAGAGGAGGGGAAGGCAGTGTCTGGACAGTGGGGTTTGTCTTGCACCGCTGTGGCTGTGCTGGCTTTCGGGGCTGGTGATTCCCAAAGCTGCACCACTGGGGACTGGAGAGCAAGGGGACACTGAGAAGTCCTCAGTGGCCCCGGGTAGGTGCAGAAGTCCTTGTTTCAGCCCTTCTGCACCCAAATTCTACAGCCGGGAATAGGTGGGGATGAGGCCAGGAAGGATTTGGGAAGGGCCAGGCTTCCAGGTAGGTGCTGGGGTGGTGTGACAAGGATACAAAAGGTCGGTCATCACCACCTCACCCTGGTGAGGACTGACTCTGGGGGCCAGGGAGTGAAAGGGGTGTTGGGGCTGTGGCAGGACTAGTGATGCCAGGGCAGGTTTCCATGCTCATGCCAGGGATTGCTAAGGACAAGATTTTCTCAAACCCCGCTGCTCTGCCCTGGTTTTTGCACGCAGGAGCTGCCTCGTGTAAGCGGCATCTTGACACTAAAGCAGAATTTGCTGCCGGAGGGACTTTTCCTTAATAGGCAGGAGAGCAGCAACTCGGCAGAGAGCTCTGAAGGACCCTCTCCTCCCTAACAGCCGGCCCTGGGTGGCAGCAACAGGCAGTCCCTGGGGACTGTCACCACCAAGATTATCCCACTGTAACCCTCCAGCCTTGCTGCCTGGCCTTACTGGCACTGCCTGTCCCAGTGTGCCACCCCTGCTCTCTGCCAGCACTGCAGCACTGGAGACTCAGTGCTCGGCCCTTTCCTTGTGCCCCTGCAAAACTGTCTGTGACCAGGAAAGGGATTTAGGGGCTTCTTTTTAAGGCACCCTCCTCTTCTTCTGTTGCACTGGTTGGGAACAGGGACATGAGACCTAGAGCAGGGCTGTGAGCTGAGCAAACGCGGTGTCCCCCATCCCCAAGGCAATCCCAGCAGCAAAAAAACCCCAGTACCCTTTTGTCCGAGCAAACCCAGGCGAGATGGAAGGGAAGGACGGGACGGGGTGACCCGCAGGAGGGTGGGGGGTATCAAGTCCAAGCCCTCATCTCCCGAAGCGGAAGGTGAAGCCCCCTTTTTTCCTGTTGTAGCCGTTGAGCTCCTCGGCCAGGTTGCCCAGGGTGCCGCTGCGCTTCTCCCCCGCGGCGGGCAGCACCTCGGAGCCCCCCCGCCTGCCCGGCCGCTGCCCGGCCCCCGCCGAGCCGTAGCCCCGCAGCTCCCGGGCGATGCCCAGCAGCGCGTCCAGCTCCTCGCTTCGCCTCCGCTTGGCCCCTGCCCTCCAGCCGGCGCCAGGGTCCTCCGCCGCTGGTTGCCACCTGGGACCGAGCAGGGTCCCCTCCCCGGGGCGTCCCGGCTCCCGCCGCTCGCTGGGAGGGAAGCAGGTCCCCAGGCTCAGGAGGAAGAGGCAGGACAGCGAGTAGGGTGCTCTCATCTGGGGGAAGCACAGGGAGGGAAAGGCAGGTCAATAAACCGCCGAGCATCCTCGGGCGGCGGCTGAGGCACCAGCACGGGATGCCCTCGGCCCTCAGTTCCTCACCCCTGCTGCAGCACCCCCCAAACCAGCCCCGCTGGCCCTGCTAGAACTTCACCCCACACTAAGCACCCACTGCTCCTTCTGCAGCCTCCACACCAGCACCCAGTGCGGGTGCTGGGGGAGTTTGAGCTCTCCCCATGCTTCCTTCAGACCTGCTGCCCTTCAGCAGCAGCAGCTCCGTGCTCACAAATCCCAGCCTTGCAGCGACTCCCCTGGTTCGCAGCCGGGAGCCAGCCGGGCTCTGCTGGGGTGAGGGGCCGAGAGCCGGGCAGGGCGAAGGGCTCCAGAGCTGCCCGCTCCTCTTGGAGGCACCTCGGGAGGACTTTGTGCATCACCCTGATTGTCCCCACGAGTAAGTCCTGCCCGCAGTGCCTGGATGACACAGGTGCAGAGGAAGGTGCTCAACATCCCTCTGCTTTATGGGGGTTGAAGGTGTCCTGGCGGTGGGGTCTGAGCAGAGTGAGCGCAGTCCTGGGTCATGTGCAGTGGTGCCTCTCACAAAGGCTCAGGAAGGGGAAATGCTGGCATTATTATTATTAATTACTATTATATTTATTATTTGCCGGAAATGTTGCCGTAAAAGTCACTGCAGCTTCTGGGGGCCAGGGTTTCTGCCCTGTGCTAGCAGGCTGGGGGCTGCTGCAGGTGGGTGCTCCTGACTCCTACACCAGACCCAGCTGCACCAAAGCCCCTGCATGCCCTCCCCAGCACCCCTCAGCCCAGGGGCTTCACTTCTGGGTGCTCCCTGCCTCTTTCACACCTTGCTGTCATTTTGCTCTCTCTCTTTTTCCACCCAGTTGCCCGTCGTGGAGCCAAATCGCTGGGTGCAGCCGGAGAAGAGGTGCTGAGTCCCTTCCCAGGGTCTGGGGGTGCCGGTGGGTCCCCACCTGCCTCCCACTGGCTCCTTTGCCTCCTCACTGGCTGCAGGTGTGAAGCAGGTATGTGGGGGCAGACAGACAGACAGATAGACAGACAGTCAGACAGACATATACCAGCCACTCACCTCTCTGCCCTGGTGCTGCCCAGCGCCGCTGGCCCTGGCCCTGCTCCGTGCTGCCCTGTGCCCAGATGAGCAGCCAGCCCGCCTTGGGCCATTAAATACCCGCCAGGTCTAATTGCTGTGTCACCTCTTGAACGTGTGGCCAAAGAGAGCAGAGGGTGGGATTCTCAGGGAGGGGGCTGGAGAGGGGGATGGGGGGGACAGGGGTTGGTGGAGCTGCCACAATGTGAGTACAGCAACACCACTCATTAACGCCCTGCCTTCATTTGCTGCCTTGTTTGAAGCGGTGGCTGGGAGCTGGCCTTGAGCCCCTGGCAGCTGGGGATGCTGCTGGGAGGGAGGGTCTTGTCTGGGGGCACAAGTGTGTCCCCCCCCCGTTTGGCTGGTGTGTCTTTGTGTGCAGGTCTTGGGGGTACCAGACTAATGTGTAAGTGTGGTGGGTACACAGGCACCAAGGGAGACTCCTGCACCCCCAAATTCCCCCAGGGACTGGCCCCACATGGATAAGCCCAAGTGCTCCCACCCTCCCTCGTCAATGCATGCAGCCACCAGTGCTGAAATGTGGTCCCCAGTGCCTGGGACCCTGCTGTCCCCTCCGGGTCTGTCCTGGCCTGCGACAGAATGGGAGGTGGGGTGAGCAGCTCAGAGGGAAGGGGCTCAGGGCATTGCTTGGTGCTCTGCCTGTCAGAGCAGGGAGAGGGTTCCCTTGGCTCTGAGACCTGCCACCCTCCCAGCCCCAGCCCCAGGGCCACCCTGAGGTCCCACAGTGCCTCAGTTTGGGCTGGAGCTCTGGGAAGCCTCCACTGCCCCCCCGGTTCTCCCCAGCCCTTGTTTTGCAGAGTGGTTTTGGCTCAGTGATCGAGTTTCCGGGGATTCCATGCCACGAGCCTGGCACAGGGAAGGAGCTGTCCCCACAGCACAGCAGGGGCTGCAGCGATCCAGTGTCACTCCCTTTGCCACCACCACGGCAGGTCCCTCCGGCGATGTCCCCACGCTGCGCCGCGGGCACGGCCGCCGAGACGCTGGCTAACGATGAGATCCTTTTATTAAGGAGTTTAGAAAGTCCACATGTACAGCGTTGGACACACTCACACACGACCTAGAGAGACTTCACGGCACTGCTACACACCACGACCTGGCTCAGGGCTTCGCCGGGAAGGTACGTGGCCACATCCCGGACCCCCAGTCGCCCCTGCCCTCCCCTCTCCGGGGAGGTGTCACCGCGGACGGGTTTAACCTAATCCAGGGCCATGGAGCAATGTGTGCGCTCTTGGGAATAATCCTGGGCAATCCTGCGTCTTGGCATGGATTAAATACCTCTCGTGCAAGTCAAAACAGAGTCATTGGGGGGTCCCGGATGACACAGGCAGTTACTCAAGGATGTGCTATCGACAAACCGACGTACAGTGTCCCCTCCCCAGCATGGCAAAACACCAGTGGAGGGGTCTGGGGAGGGGAGGGCCTTCCCACCCCGCACATGGCTCCATGTGCCTTCCTGGCCCAAAGGCAAGTGCTAGAAAACACAGCTACAGCTACTCCACAAAATAAATGAACGAGAAGTAAAGATGGGTGCAGGCGGGACCCTTTCTGGAGAGGTCCAGTGGGGCACAGGAAGGCCCTGGGAAGCTGTCAGGGCTCCTGCTCTTGAGCTGGGAAATGCCACTGCTGAGCTCCCCAAATTCCATTGTTCCAGAAAGCCTGACCAGCTGCTCTGGGCAGGGTTGGAGTAGGTAGAGCTGGTGCCTGCACTCAGAGCTCATCCTCACCCGAGGGCTCTGAGGAATGTCTCTGGAACAGGGAAAAGCAATCCCAATACGTTGTTTGTCCTTGTTTTCCTCGCAAAACAGACAGACAGGGACTCACCCAGCAGGTGAACGGGCTTGTCCAGCACAGGATCCGAGGTGGGAAGGCTTAAAAAAAGAAGAATCACAGAGGGCAGTACAAACCTGGCGCAGCTGGGAAGCTGAGCCTTTGATCTCCCCATGCCTTAAGTCCCCCTGGAAATGGAGACACTGGGAGTTTTCCTCCCCTCCTCGGTCCATCCATCTGTCCAACAGTGTCTCGGGGGGCCAGGGCTCTGCTCCCCACTGCTGCTTTAGCACAGGCAGAAAACGATGGACAGGGTGACTGGGTCCCTGCTGTCTCCTTCCCTCCCTGCTTCAGAGCCTTCTCACATTTGGTTCTAGTTTTCTTTTGGACAAAATCCCCCATTTGAGTCCTTCCAGGGAGCCAGCAGGAGACATCAGTCCCGCACCCCACAGCAGCTCCTGCTTGGGTTGGCTGGTGCGTGGCGCCGCTGCTGCCCAGTTATCAGGGCCCTGCAGATGCTAAGCCCCACTCGGGGCTTCTTTTTGCAAAACCTTAACGGGATTTGAGGAAATGAAAGGCTTTGGATATCTGCAGGTGCCGAGCCAGCACACGGCTCAGCCGGGGTGAAAATGAACGCGGGTCCCCGGGCCGGCAGTGAGCAGAGGGGGCTCACGTGGGGGATGTGTCTGTGCTGCCCAAAGCCAAGGGTTTGGGGAAAGGTCACAGCTTTTGGATGGCCCACATGAATCCGAGTGAGTCTGGTTGGGAGGGAGGAGCTGTGAAATGCAGGCAGAGCTGTGCTGGGAAGTGAACCTTCCTTGCCTCCTCCTCCTACTTGCCGCGCTTCCCATTTCTCCAGTGCTGCCAAAACAGCTCCATGCCGTGCTCAGTTCTGGGTGGACGTCCTTGCAGCACTGCATCAGCTTGCTTTGGGGTGTTCTGACCCATGGGGAGGCTCCAGGAGGCAGGACAGGGACAACAGGGTCTAAGGAGCTGGTAGTCATCCCTTCCCAGCTGTGTTCTCTTCCAGGGGCAGAGGCGAATGTTCTGTAGTCCAGAGAAAGAATCACTGGCACAGTCAGGCTGACCCAGCTGAGCCCTCCCCATCACTAGTAGCACCATGGGGGGAGCTGGAACTGTGGAGCAGCCTTGTCCCGGTCTGGGGGATTCTGGGGGTCTTGGGGCTCCCTGTGGCAAGTGCCCCCAGTCACTTGGTGAGGCCACTGCCTGGAGTCTGTGCCCGGAGCAGAGGTGATCAGAGGTGCTCAGCCTACCTGGGCTACTCCCTACCTCCAGGCAGCCCCTTCTCTTCCTTGCTGGACCCTGCTGGGCACTGCTCCCCAAATCCCTACATCCCACTGCCCTCTCTGGGGCATGAGCACCAGCCACAGGTCACGCCCTGGCCAGGACAGAGCCATTCTGGCTGCAGCGGAGCCATGGCAGTGGGAAGCAAAGGTCCAGCAATGTCCGTGGATGCCCAGGAGATAAAGTCACCCTCACTGGGGGCAGGTGCTCCCCAGAGGCCCCTCAAAGATGGGCCAGCCCTCGGGGAGGATGGGAAGGATGGCAGCTGGGGGGGATGGGGCTGCAGGTTGGTGGGGAAGGGCAGGGGGCTGGGCACAGTGTGGGGGGGCTCCTGCCATCCAGCTAATTCTCCTCCCGGATGGGCCGGATCTTCATCTCCGTGAATTTGAGGGAGTACTGCCAGCCGGTCCAGGAGGACCACTCGATGCCATCGGCGTAGGAGCTGTGGTGGCCCTTGAGGTACTGCCCGTTGAGGTTGGAGGTGTGGCAGTTGCGGTACCACCAGGCACCGTGGTAGAAAGCGGCGCAGTTGTTCTCCGAGTGGTCGTTGTCCAGGTCCTTGGTGGTGAACTTCATCCCATTGTGCTTCAGGAGGGAGTCACCTGTCCCGGGGAAAAGGAGATGTGATGAGCCCTTCCTGCCCTTGGGCCAGCTCCCTGCCCCATGGGACTCTCCTGGGCACCACAGCGGGATTCCTGCAATGAGTCTCCTGCAAAATCCTGTTAACTACCTCCAGCTCCCTGCAGCCGCAGGGATACAGCCAGTGCCACTGCCAGGGGAGACTGGAACACCCCAGTGAGGGGGTTTGGTGGCTGTGGGCTCCCCTTGCCCCACAGGCCCATGTGTGTGTCCCCACTCTGCTGCCTCACCTGCTGTTCCCGAGTAGTCGGTGACGGTGATGGGGTACCCGTCCTCCTCGGGGTCCACAGAGAAGAGCCCCACCCCGAAGCTGCCATAGTGGGCGAAGGCAGTGCCATTGTCAAAGTCCTCCAGGTCGATGCGGAGCTCGTAGGTGCCCTGGACTGTCAGCATGTGGATCCGCTTCAGCCCTGCAGCAGAGGGAAGGGGTGAGTGCAGGGACCCCGCTGGGGATGGGGTGGCCAGTAGGCCCTGGGGAGGGGGCCTGGGGTGGAACAGGGAGCGGTTCCCACCCTCCATCCCTCACTCTGGCTGCATGGCCAAGGGCACACGCTCAGCTCGGGGTCAAACAGCCCCATTGCCTCCCTGCCCTGTGCAGCCCCCTGACACCCTCCCTGCCTGCCCACCCATCACTCCCATGACATGAGCGCTGGCCAAGGGTGTCTTGGTGTGCCCTCCTTTGCAAAGGAAACCCTAGACCTCTTCAGGGGACCCCAGGCTTTGCCAGCCCACCCAGGAGTGAGCACTGCCAGCCCCACACACCTAACCAGTGCTCTCCTGTCAGCTTCCCAAAGCCATCCCGGTAGGCTTCCCAGCCACGGAAGAAGTTCACAGAGCCATCTTCCCGCCGCTGGAACACCTGGGGAGACACACAGGGCATCAGTTGTGGGGCTGCTCCAAGCCCATGCACCCTGGGCAGCCCCCCTGCTCCCCACCGTGCTGCCCACCACTCCCTGCCACTGCCTGATCACATACAGGCACGAATTAAACCCCATCAGCCCAGTCATTACACAGGGATGCTCAGCCATTATACAGGGATGCTGGGGAGAGGTCCCCAGAGAAATGCTGGATCATCACCTGCCAGATCCCAGGGTGGGTCAGTTCAGATAAAACCCTTCACAGGATCCTCCCTCTGGAGCAGAGCCCCAGAAACCTGTGGCCTGCTCCTGTGGGAAGGTGTCCTGTGCCCCTGGGAGTGGTGAGGACACTGCACCCACCTCCAACCAGCCTGGGTCTGCTGTTGCACATGGGAGCAGAGGTAAGGACAGATGGATGGACAGCATGACCTGAGGTCTGTCCTGCAGCTCGTGCGGCCCAGACCAGTCCAAGCCCTCCTACCAACGGTGTGTGTTCAGAGCTGTGTAAAACCCGGCAGTTGATTTCCCCCTCCTGGATCTCCACGCTCTCCTGGGCAGCCACCCCATTACAAGGCATCATCCCTGTGATGGCATCATTAGTCTCCCAGAGACTTTATCTCCCAGAGAAATTATCTGGGGGGCACTGACTGCCCCGACCCCTGCAGAGCCTCCAGATCCCGGGGCTCAGAACGTCTTTTCTCCTTGGAGCCTTTCCCTTTTCCTCTGCCATCTGCTCATCAGTGTGCTGTGTCCTGCGTGTTTCATCCCCTTTTATCCCCTTTTGTTTGGGTTTGATTTATTGACAGCAATCCAGAAAATGCTGCTTCGTATCTGACCATTTGAACTTAATTAAGCCTCCAGTCCTGGATTAATTGCATTAAAGTTG